GGCTATATCAGATTGCATTTTTAGACCAAAGGCAGCTGAGTCACCCAACCTTTGCTGTCGTTTATCATCATGTTGCTGAGACGGGATCTGTGGCACCACAAACTATGGATCAAGGATCCACTCGTACATCTGACCATGAAAAAAACATTCTACAGGCTGTGGAGACAATCCAGGCATAAGCACATGTCAAATGGATTTAGCAGGTCATACATCTCATAGTACCACATGGAGAATACTTCAAGAGCAGCTCCTGTATCTGTAACATTAGCAATATGTGCAGGGTCTTTCACCCTCTGATCACTCACCACAAGAGAACTTTTACCAGTGGTTTACTGCACAAACTGCTAATCTGTTGTTCATCTCTTCAGTCATGTTTACAGATGAGGAAATATTTGGCAGTGATGTAATAACAAATTTACACAACCAATATTTCTGGGTGGATCAGAATCCCCATGGTACAATACAGGCTTGACACTAACATCTGTTTACGATTAATGTGTGGGATGGAATTGCAGGAGACAGTCTGCTAGGTCCATATGTTCTCCCAGCACACTTTACAGGAGCTGTCTAGAGGGACTTTATTTCAAACACAATCCCAATCTTGGTAGAGAATGCACCCCTGCTAATACGAAGACACATTCTACATTGAAAAACACTGAATATACAGGGACACTTATTTAACTTTTGGTATTTGATATATCTAGATGCATAATGTAACATATTTTAGCAATAAAAAGCAGTAAAAAACTCAGTGTTTGTCTAGGATATGCATCTAGATATATCAAATACAAAAGATTTTAAAATTTAAATCTAAAGTCAATCATCACTTTATCTTCATTTTGTCATTTAATTACCTACTATATTTGTTTCAAATTTGGTATTCTCAATTCATTAATACACACACACACACATATATATATATATATATATATATATATATATATATATATATATATATATATATATAGGAGGCACGGTGGAGTAATGGATAGTGGCTTGGATTGAGGAATCGCAGAGAGCGAGTTTGAATTCCAGTTGAATCCATTACATTCACTTACTCTCCCTCCAGCTATGGGTAAAATAGCAGGACAGACTGGGTTCTATAGCCTTGGATGGCAACTGGTCTAGGAGAAGGACAACTCTGAATTCAAAACCTGTGGAGGTCGTTTGGGAACCTTGTGGCATTCGATTGCACCAGGTCTCGTAAATCCCTTCAAAAAGTGTGGATGGTCCTGCACGAAGGCCTTCACCACTATAATCAAATCTCATGTGCTGGTGTTGGGCTGTTGGTTTCCTGAAACTGATCTGCTTGACCCTCATACGGCGAATCTTGACGGGAGAGTCGATTATATATATACATTATATATATATATATCTATATATATATATACACATATATATATATATATATATATATACATATATATATATATATATATATATATATATATATATATATATATATATATATATATATATATATATATATATATATATATATATATATATATATATATATATATATATATATATATATATATATATATATATATATATATATATATATATACATATATATATATATATATATACATATACATATATACATATACATATACATATATACATATATATATATATATATATATATATATATATATATATATATACACACACACAAGGAGATGCTGAGCCACTTTGAACAAATGAACAAATATCAGAATTTTTCCAGACAGATAACATTTCAGCATCCTTCTGCAAATTGACTACATGCTGCTGTTTATATGGATTGAATTTTCAGTGTTGCTGTAAAATTTGCCAGTTTCACTAAAATGTATAAGCTACAATAATTGAACCAGCATTAAGTTCTTTTTCTCTTAGTTGCATAGTTTTTGCTATCATATTCATAATTTCAAATAGTTATTCTTTTTTATTATCTATCAAAACAATAAATGCTCTTTTGTATGTCATAGAGTTTTTTTTTACTTCTTACAAGACAATCAAACATCTTAATGGCAGAGATGCTGTACAAGTTTTACTAGCATTAACCCCTGAACATCGCATGGAAAATGTTGAAATGAACTACATTACTTAGTTTCACCAGTTCTTATCTTCATGGCTACCCGTCATGTCACACACATTTGTAGCAAACCACCCTCGTTCCCTTTGTATTCCATTGGTAAGATGTAAGCTCTACTTGCTTCTGAAGAGGATGCTTCCCTAATCACTACAATTTTAGCCTGTTCAAGTCCAGGGTTAATTATAATCTTCCCCACATATCTGCATAAATTCTGCCTCTTACTCTGTAACCCTTGAGTGGCTCTCTTGTACATAGTGAACATCATTGTAAAAAAAAATGATTACAACTTTTGAAAAATTATTTTAACAGCAACAGCTCCCCAGATAGTTGTATATTTTTATATTGATTTAGTACTTCTTAAATTTCTTCAGAAGCAAATATGTTAGCCCTGTCCAGAAAGTATAGAGGCATTTAATATAAATATTGATGAAAAAAATAGCTTATTTGGCAAAGTATTCCACTTAGGATCTCATACACCTATCTCAAGGCCCCTATTACTTTTTAAAACATTGCAAAGTCTCTTCCTTTGCAATCACTGTCAACTTTTTTGTCACATTCTCTTTAATCACATTTTAACTGTGTATTTAGCTTTGAAAAAAGATAGAGTCATAAGAAGCCAAATCCAGTCTGTAGTAAGGTTGATAGACATGGATGATGTGAGGTTTTGCCAAAAGAACCTGCATAAATCATGAATAATCTATTCACTTGGGCATTATGAATGTGATGATTACACAGCACACAAGCCCACTCAATGGCATTTCTTCACTGGTGACTAAGTAACCTGACAAGAGCGATTGGCTATTCATGCATGCAGAGTAAGTTCAACTCTAACTGACAAGTTACATTAACTTCTTCAGAAATTCAAAATGCCTGGATACTTTCTGCAACTACCTCATGTTACATATTTGATAGCAGAATCTTTTCATTTATTTTATTATTCTACAAAAGATGGAAATTTTAAAACATATATTAATCTATATACTAAGATATTATAAAAATTGGGTTTGTACAAAAGAATGGTCATTGACAGTTACCAGTTGGGAATTCACATGCAAATTAATGTATAACTGATTAATAAATATATACATAATCATCAAAACTAAATATATAAACATATTTACTCAGTGTATTTTTTTAATCTGATGCATGACCACAATGAGGATTGAACTCACTACTGTTTAAGAGACTAACCTATAATTTTTTTCAGAATTACTTTTATTCAACTATAGCTTCACAAAAGTTTACCCTCTCACTATCTGTCGATATTTCTGAGATGAGATATTATGTACACTATTTACATTGTTCAAACTATCATCCTCGTGTTTGTTGCTATATTTATTACAACATTTCGTCCGTTGTACACTCCTGCCTTCTTCAGGTGGTTGGAATGTCAAACAGAACCTTTTAATTTGCTTGCTGGGGTAGACTGTTCTAGTTCCACATGCCATGTCTAATGGATGTCAGTTATCAGTTATCCCCTGTTAATTCTTCTCTCCAAGTTCTCCACTGCCTTAACCAGGTATTGAACTCACACTCTTTGGGCCCTGTGACTGGATCTAAATAATCATTGATAAATAATCATTGTATGAGAGTGTAAACTCTCATCCAATGATTATTTATTTGCTCTTGGCTAATATTTAGGAAAGACCTATGTGGCTCATTTTAATATTTTTAATAGTCATTGCTTACCCTTAGTAACATAATAGTGGGGCACTCAACTTATGAAAAACTGGAAAAAATAATTTGAAAACAAAGTAGAGGATCATTTTTCTCTATGTTTAAAAAATCATGATTTTTCCAAGATATAATGAATATATAATATAAGCCTTCTGTGCATGCCTGAAACTTTCTTCTGTAATAGTATATGTACTTGTACAAACATGAAGCTTCATAAAGAACTGGTCAAAACTTCAAAATTATCGAATCAAATTCAAAATTATCAATTTCTTTCATAGAAAAAGTAACCTCTGCTGTTAAATAAAAAATAAATAAATCATTTTCTGAATTGATAAAAATAAGGAAAAGTACTAAAGTCATTTCAGTCATACTAAAGTCATACTTCAGTCATTTAAAAAAAAACTGAATATTATCAAAAAAAAATTACCATGTTTCAGCTAATTGTTTGCTATTTCAGGGCAGCACAATGAATTTAAAAATATGGAATAGACTTGAAGTAACAGAATTGACACCACTATATACATTATTGAAAAACATTTAAATTGTTGAAGTTACCTAAGCTTGAAGGTCTTTATTTTATGTATAAAAATATAAGACATCATCATAAAGTTGTGAATTGCAAAATTGAGTCATAAATCTTGGACATCTTTCTGGTATATTTTATGTAAATCAAACCAACATGGAATCTCCTTTGTGTAAAGTCACAGATAAACAAATTCATCAAAGAATGTTTAGATATAGCTAAATGCCAATATTACTACAACATGAAAAAATATGTGAATTGGAATTAATTAAAACATTTGTATCTACATCTTTATTAAACTTATTATAGTATAGTATAATACCAAAATGAATGAGGGAGTTGGAAGATGCTATTTCAGTCATTGAAATGAGGAGAACCTATCTGACTTAAAAATCAGCATTTGAAATTTTGGTTTAAGCTCAAACACAGACCACTGACAACAACTGGAAATATGCATCTACAATGTTCATATTTTTATAAGAATGTTATAAAATAGAAAAAATTAAGTAAAATAATTTCCAAAATATTCTATTTCAACTGTACCAAGAAGGAAAATTAAATTTCAGTCTAAACAAGAAGACAATTTTTGAGGTTGACCCACAAAGTTCCTTTAAATAAGGTGTAATTGAAGAAAACTATTCACCCAAAGCAAATTTTGATAATATTCACAGCTGTCTGTTGTACTTGTGTATTACAAGTAGAAAATCAAAATCAACTTACCTTTCCTGCAGCCGCTCAGTTGTTAGACTCGTTTCCTTAAGAACTGTTTGACATTTGCACTTTGACCGAGTCTTTATTTTCTGTTTCTGATACACTCCGGTTAGACAGGGCACAATTGGTGCTTTCATACAGTTCACAGATGCTTCTGAACTCTGCGATGGAGATGGGCTGTTCTCAGCTTTTTCTGTACTGTTATTTTCAGCATCCGACCGCTCCCTTTCCGACCGGGCGTCCACATCAGACCGTAACATATCAAAGTCATCACTGTGAAAGCTCTCAATGCGAGCCAGTGGACTTCGTAAGAATTGTTTATTAGGGGTGATGGGCGTCTTTAATGAAGACAATGAATTTGTTCGTTTTTGTGACTTTACAGATCCTGAGGAGTGTCTTAACAGACCTGAGTGCGGCAGGCGGCGAGGTGAGTTTTCCTTCAAGACCTTCAAAATTATTGATTCATTATCATCATCTTCATCATGTTCTTGCAGTTCTGAGAAGACTGTATCATCAGGGGTATGATCAGGAGGAGAGTTTTTACTGTCCAAGAAACTTCCAGGTACAGTTAAACGAGTTCGAGAGGTCCGTTTTGGACCACTGCTTATACCAAGACCAAGACCACTAGATGATGGTATGGTCACTGACTCAGCCAACAAATGTGATGTGCTATCTACTTTCTCTTCAATATCCTCTGGATCTGTTAGCTTTAAGTCAGTTATTCCTTGTTCTATTCGCTTTTCACTATCTGTTCGTGGAAGATTGCTATTGTTTTGTTTGCATTTTTCCAGTTTCTCATCATCAGAGAGATTGGCGTAGTTATTTGTTTGCATAGATTCCAAAAAGGACTCTGAGGAACCAGAGTTATTGATTGGTCCTAACAGCTTAGGTTGAGAAGATGATGACAATGATGAGGTTACCTTTTGCTTGGGGATAGCCCCAGATAAGCGTGAATCAACAGGCAACAAGAAGTTATTTGTTAACAATTTTTGCTTAGGTTTGACGATGACATTGTTCAAAACCTTCACTGGGGGTTTGTCTGCAAGGAAAATTTTCTGGGCACTTTGTTCTACCAAGGAGTCTGAAGGCTGTTCATTTTCCTCCTGCAGAAGAGGAATATTTGAAGATGATCCTTCGGTGCTCTCATGAAAGTTTGTAGTTGAGCAAGGATTTGAACTGTCTGCAAAATGCACTTCAACTGTAGTAAGAGGCCCATTTGGACTGTGAGGTTCAATTTGCAGTTGCTTGACAGAGGGCTTGTAACACTCTTGGATGGTTAATCGGGCAGGCCTTGTTACAGGACTCTGTCGAGGTGTTAAATCTGCTTGGTCTTCATCTGGTACATCAATAGATTCAGACTGTAAAGAAAGACTAGTCCTCTTATCATGTGGTCCACATGACCTGGAACGACGTTGAGAAGCCCTTGATTTTGCAGATTCAGTTGGTAGCTGCGCTTTGCCTGCAATAGGCGAATGAACTGGGCTACTTTCAGTGAGCCTACTAGGATCCGGGCTCTGAGATCGGGCTCTCTCACTACTTGGAGTAGATCGGTCCTAAAAACACACATATACAAGAAAAGAAAAAGAAAGAAAAACAGTATTAGAACTGAATTAGAAGAAATTTCAAATCAATATAATTATACTACAAAAAGGTTATTTAAAACGAAAATAGAACTTATATGATTTTCCCAATGAACTTGAATCCAAATTTGTTGTAATGAAAAAGAAAAATATTGAACATTTAGCTTCTTCTATGAGAATCAAAAATACATCTTAAATTATATGATGATAAACGTTGAAAAAGTAAATAAACATCTCCACCCTAAATTTTATTAATCATATTAGGAAACATTAAGCAAAAAATGGACTGAAAAACATTTTGACATTTAATCATTTTATCAGATTTTGCAAAGTGGGTCAGGTTGAAGACATTTAGGCACTCTCTTGTTTATATTTTTATTGAGTATAAAACACTTCACAGAATCTATATATATTGTACTGTGAGACTATGGCAGGACCAGAGAGTGATATTTTGATTCTCAGTAGAGCACACAGATATTCTGATTTGATGGAGAAGGGCTAACCCATATGTAATCCGGTAATTTTGTCTCTATATATGTGTGTGCGTGTGTGTATTTTTGTCTGTGTATGAAAGAGGTCATATTTTATTATGCAAGTTAATGTTTTTAATAAAATTAGTATTAAACAACTGATGATGGTAAAATTTTCTGGATATATTTATATGATAAATATACAATGTAACCATCAGCTTATAATATCTATTCTTATTAGACAATATTGGTAATAACTTGTTTTGGGGATGTTGAGTCTTATTATGTAAACAAATTAAGTATAATATCAATTTTTATTTCCAAAAATTCCAGAGGATATAGGCAGAATATATTTGATTAACAGAATATCCTATATACTTGAAGAAATTATTACTATTTTACATGTTAATATTAGCTTCTTGATATTCCATGACCCTCATTGAACTTTCAATCATTGATTTTGTTAATTTTTCTACTGTTTTCACTTTAACTTACAGCAGTTTTTATTGTTTCCCATTATTCTTTTTACTTGAATAATGTTTTCAATTCATATCTCAATCCTTTTTAATGATGAGCTACAAGTTTTCTATGGGGTTTAATATCTGGAAATGCAATCCATTATTGAAGTCTTTAAAACTTTCTTTGGCAAGGTAGACAATATATAGTTTGCATGTCTTGCATGAATGTACTTTTGAGCTTCTTTTGACATGTATCACTCAAAAAATGTCTTGTCCAAGAACTTACAAATATTTCACTATATTTATCTTGGTACAGTCATCAACTTTAAAAGGATTTACTACCTACAATGCTAGACAAACCATTACTTCACCACCCTCTTCTTTTTCTATGTTGCCTCCATTGACTGTTTCCATGAATGACCTAACCTTTTATCCAGCCAATGTAACTCTACATTCATCATTAAAAATTACTATTGAGAAATCAGTTTTCATATATTTTTTTTGCCTAACTTACATGTTTCCTGTTGTGATCTTTAGGTGGTAGTTTTGTTTTAAACCAGTGTTGTTAACATTCTAAATCTTTTCTCTCCATTTACATCTGCAGCAACTTTTTCAAATATTTCCTTGCTGATAGATCCACTTTACTAGATTATATCCCTTTAATATTTTAAAGATTTTTTGTGATCTAATTAAAACCATTTTTCTTGTTCTTATCTTGCAAATGTTTGCAATAACTTTCTTTTCTGTGATCCCTGTTCAACTCTTTCACAATTTCCACTGTTGTTTTCCCATCACAAAATAACTTTACAGTATCTTGCTTCTTTTTTATGACTCATGGCAGTTGTTATTTATCTAAAATTAAAAAATGAATATCAATAACTTTACTATTATATATACATATATATTTATTTACAATATATGAAAACACCTGAAGTTGCATAATAAACTCTGACGTGATCAAATAAGTTAATGTAAATTGTTCAAATAAAAACAGATAAGAATATTTATATTTATAATATAAATGCTAGTATATCTTGAAAACTTAACCAACATCAGTTTAATACCAAATACTGAGTTACATAACAAAATGTGCTATAACATATATATATATATATATATATATAATATATATATATATATATAGTTTTATCAGTATTAATATATGCATACAAATATTTAAAAGAATAATCATACAAAAATATATACTATAACATAAGAGTAATTATATTTTATTTATCAATGTTTAATTTCTTATATGAAGCATTCACAGTTATTATCAATTCTTACACTTATATTCCTTTTCATCTTTATTACAACTCTCAAACTTTTATTCTTCAGTTGTCTGGAAGTAATGCAAATCAGAAATAAAAAATAAGCTTCTTGCAAAAATCAAATTCAAATCCTTTTTACATGTCTTAGCATAGATGCTGACATAATTTCTAACTAAAGTCATTCAAATCTAACCATGGAGCTATTTCTTATTTTCCCCAACTACCACATTTATACACAAGAGTAGTATTAGTAATAATTTTATTTTCAACAAAGCATTGTTGATTATTATCAAATCTTCAACTAGTATTTATTTTTTCATTTTAATTTTAGTTAAAAATTGGAAATAAGAGTATATTCTTCAATCATAAATTTGTAATTGTTTTTTATCATGTTTACAGCTATTATTATTATATTGATAACTTAGTTGTAAAGAATTTTTACTCATATTTATACATGAGTAAAAAATATAAATGCATAAAATATCTATAAGCTTACTCTTAAATATATTAAATTTGGAAAAATGTTTTCACTTCATGTTATCTAAATGAATAAAACATCATACTGAAATTTAAAACACATGCAACTATTGATGAGATAATAAAGAAAGCAATAATAGATAATGTCAAAAATTTATTGGTATAACAATTACTTAATTAATTAATTGTAAGGTAGAGTAAATTAATTAATCAAACAACATAAAAGCAAATAAAGTATTAACTGATATAAGACATTCCTTAAGCAAAAAAAATGGAATGAGAACAATCTACTCCCCATGGATTGTAAAAATGGTTGAAATTTAGAAAGTTACATATGACAAGAAAGTCAGAAGTTACAAAGCTGTGAATATAACAACTAATATGAACATGATAATTATCATAATAATGATAATTTCTCATCTCAGTAATTCTTACATAAATCATAAATTAAGAGTTTTGAAAATAATTTTTTTGAATAAATTTTTGGGCAAGTATTTTTTCATAGCCTAAACATTTCAAATGTTAATTTTAAAAAAAATCAGTAACTTCTATTGTAGTTTTCATTTTCTAATTCAGAGCATTTTATATCTCCAAGTGAAGTTTAGAATAAAATTTCAACTGATTTAATTTCAAATGACTTTCAAATATATTTTTTTAAGTTTTGAAATGACCCCTGATTTTATAAAATGAAACAAAATGATGTGTGTGTGTGTGTGGGGGGATATTTCCACAAATGTTTTACAAAATAATTTTTTCATAAATAAATTCATTCATTCATACAGATATATATATATATATATATATATATATATATATATATATATATATATATATATATTAGTATGAAAGATTTTATTGAAATCTGGTAATTAACTGGGTGAATCAGCAGTCAATACACAACCAGATTGAACTATTCATGTTGACTGTTGTAAACAACAGTTGATATTCTTCACACACACATGCACACAATTAACATAGACAATGCTGGTAGAATGTTGTTCACCTTTCTATTTTTATTCACTATTTCATTATCCCATCTTGATCCACTGCCATATCATGATACAACTAACTGTGCAATTTGCAGTGCTCTTTCAGAACAACTGCAAAATATTTCATAACAGGGGACAGAAAATTAGTTTCTCATTATTCTTCATGATTATTTTACTGGGTGAGTTTAATATCAGTGATAACTTAGTCAGCTTTGGTGAGTCTGCAAACCACTCACCTAACTCATCCAAAATATATGCCAATAAAGATTGCTCAACAATGAAAAGTTAGGTGAAAAATTTAGTATTATTTGAAAGTTTCTTTCATTTAAATTTAAGAACTTATAAAATATTTTTAACCCCTTTGTTATTTTTGTTAAAATATCTTCAGTATAACACTTTATTCAATAAAGAAAAGTTCAACTTACTTATCTGGGTAACTGACTCAGAGTTTTGTATCGAAATGCTCATCAGGTTCAGATGTTTGATAAATCTATTTATCTTATATTAATATTGATAACTCTATAAATTTATCAAAAATCTTGTCCTGATGAACAGTTTGATGGAAAACTCTAGAGTTGGCTAACCAGATAAGTTAGCTAACCAAATAACTTATCTTAATTTATTGAATATTATAGCTTTAGTTATCTATTGAGCACTTTTGGTAGTTCTGCTAACCTGAAATAACAAGTAAAATTCTCATAATTTTCATGTATTTTCTCAGTTGCATTCTTACTATTATCATTATATATTTCCTTAGGAGGAAACAGTTAATATTACCATTAGCATTGATAGTAAACTGTTAAAGATACAGGCAAGGAGAATTCACATTAACACATTCATATGCATATCTATCTATACTACATACATACATACATACATACATACATACATACATACATACACACACACACACACACACACATATATATATATATATATATATATATATATATATATATATATATATATATTGGGTGCATGTGTATATGTGTGAGTGTATATATTAGCAGCAATTTTTCATTTATAAAAATCTGGTTAGAGACCAACAAAAGTTCTTTGTAATGGATATTTTGGACCATTTTCCTGATTTCCATTGAAAATTTGAATATAAATTGTCCACTGTCTGAGTGCATGCAGTTTTCATAAGATATTTTAATTGGTTTTTTGTTTTTTGTGCTAAGCCAGTTTCATTATCATTATTTTTCAAATATCAC